CACACGACAAAAATGGTCAAGTGCTTATGGTTAAAATACAATATACGAGAAGTCATCGATATCCCGACAGAAAAAATCTAACGAACAGGAGACTTGAAGAAGATAGGACAGGCGAAAACTTTTCATACTGCCTAAGCAAACTCGGAGGAGATCATAGAACAGCAAGGTCAGCAAAAAGAAGATGACTGGATCAAGACAATATTTCAATGTTAGCAAAAGAAATCGCAAGGTGACATTTGGGGGTCGGCACACAAGAGACTAGGGCATAAGAAAGTCAGGAAAAAGGAGTGAGAGTCGCAGCGGAGACCATCGATAGTTGGCTATTAGTAGATAAGTTTGATAATAGATATGGATCATGACGTAAATGTTCGACCATGAAATGTACTTGGTGCCCATACCGAACAGTTATAAAGGAATCTGCAGCGCCAAGTCCGGTTGCTATGTCACTTGAAAATCCAGACTTTTGGGGCTTGCTTAGTGAAGCTGGTGTGTACGTGCTGTAAAGGCTTAAGGCAGATTGTAGCACATATCGAGTGAAATCTCTGAGCCAGGCAGATATGAGTATAAATAGGTCTCCACTAGATATATATATAAAAGAGTAAGAAGTTGTGATATTGAAGGGTGATACGATGATATAGGATAGGCGAATAGCCCAGGGCAGAAAGAGAGATACTATAACTGTTTAGAAAACAATTGGTCAAAAGATCGACCGAATTTGTCTCTGACGAGCTGTAACCTGGTGCTAAGATTGTCAAAGGGCACTGAGGGTGCCGACTACGATGCCGGCGAAACGTTTTGTAATGTGCCAAGTTCACAGTCTGACTTGAAATTATCTTGCATACTATGGACTCTTGACAAGGTGCGCTCCTCTAGGCCTTCCTGCCAATAGGACCAAATTGCAAACGTAAGGTCAAATAAGTTTTATACAACGAAATGAGACTGGAATGATACTAAAGACCACATTTCCTTGGTCTTCGTACCTTCGATTAAACAATAAAGCTATTTAGAAGTTGTTTGAATTTGTTTTCGCAACTCGGTCATATTGGTAGAAAGACTTAGAGGGACGCACCTTGTCCGGAGTCCATTGTATGCATCATCATTTCCAGAGTAAGACCGTGGATGTGGACATTCCCAGACGTTTCGCCGGCATCGTCAGTGAGTCTCGCCATTCGTAGCACCATATTACAACTCGTCAGAGACAAGTGCAGACAAGGTGCGTTCCTCTAAGTCTTCCTACCAATATGGCCGAGTTACGAAAACAAGGTCAAACAACTTCTATACAACGAAAGTAAACTGCGACCACACGAAAGGCCACACCATCTTGGTCTTCATACCTTCAAATAAAGCTATTTTTTAAACTTGGCATTTTTCTGAAAAAATTCTATTGGGTTGATGGTCCTCTCAAAATGAAACAAATTTAAACGAAAGCATACTCGATCTTTGGCTTTCTCACTCGAATACGGGAGGAAATGGTCTTTAGTTTGAATTTTATTAATTAAAATAATTGGCACATTTTTACTACACCACTTCTCACTTGGTAACATTTTAATACTATCTGGTTTCCTAAATTATTCTTAAAATCTGTCTTTCATATTTTTCTATAAATTGATTTCCTTATTTCTTTTCGTCATTAATTGTTGCCTAAGATTTTGGAGTCTCCTGAACGCTTGCTCCTGATTGCTGGTCCTTGCTGGAAGGAGCAATTCAGGTCCAACGTGCTCCGAGGCAAAAAGTTGGAAGCTAGACAACCAAAGGATTTGGCAGCAATTACATTCTACCATGAAAAAAAACATAGTTCCTCCTTAAGTACATCGCCTCCGTCATCGATTTCAATCGATATCAAGTCACCCTCTTTCATAGAATCGTGCCCAAGTACTGGTTTCACACTAAATACGACATCGGCCTGTGCTGATCTTCCAAAACCTTTGGATCCAGAATCGGGCGAAACGAATCTACTGGATAGAATTAACTTGAAGAATCACTATACATCTGAAACGGACAAACTAATCTTCGTGCCTGTTGGGGTTGAGGAGCTGAGTAGCAAACCAGGCTGCTGTCTGGCTCATAGAAACCTACGTCTAATCACTATGTGAGTATGACTATTAATTTAGATGTAGACAAAGCCTACTGCTTATGCTACTTTATATCCTATTTTGGTTACCTCTTTAAGGTTACTAGTTTTTATTCTTTTTTGTTTTACCAAATTGGTTTTTTGTGATGTTTTTCTGATCAGTGTCAAAGTGGAACCTAATAGTTCTGATCTTTCTATTATATTTTTATTATTCTAGCAGTAAAGCATGTTGCTATGCTGGAGGAAACCTATTTATTGCGCTGAAACCACTAACTTTTTGAATATATGGCACTGAAATTCTATGAATTAGACAAATCTGTTCCTTAGCTTATGGTAGGCAGACCAACCATTAATGTTCAGAATACCAACCTATTAACTGCTCATCTTCACCCACAAATACACTTTCCTGCCTGAAGGAGGTTGTATATGCGTGCCATAGGATCGATAATGTTCATTATTTAATAGACTTGGTACGGCAGGGCGATGATCACCAATTAAGCTGATTCAAGCGAGTAAATGAACCGGTGGGCTGAATCTTACGCTTCAAGCCCCAAGTTAATTTGATTATTTTACTACATAATCTGTAAGTTATGACTTGATTTTCAGAGGTATGACGTGCTGCTGTTGTGCATTTTTAGACATCTTTTCTGCTAATTTTTAGACCTAAGTTTATTTGGTCGTTAGTAGAAATTTGTATTGTTATTATATTCTAGGACGCTTACGACTATAAAGTAAGTTGCTTATCAGGCGATAGAGGATAGAAGTTTGCTGGTAAGTTTCGATGTAATGTTCAAGTACATTAATATTCCGATAAATGAGGCAATTTAGACTTTAGAGTTTACACTAAATCAACTCCTTAGCTCATAATAGGTAGAAAGTTAGGCAAGGTCCAATTATTACATTAGTCAATTTGGTCATAAATAATGCATATTTTGTCCGCAATG